CTGGGTTGAACTCTGTTGTGTAATGCTTTTGTGGGTCTCTAAATAAGATATCATTGGAAGCTATATTTATATTTTGAAAAACTCAGGTCAATTATAGTAAATTTTCTTAAGTTTTCTGGAGTCTGTAGACTGTTTTCAGTATTCCATTTAAAACATAGAGAAATGAACAAAAAGCAGACCTATAACCTTGGTACTTATAATATGCTTGAACTCTGTTGTGTAATGCTTTTGTGGGTCTCTAAATAAGATATCATTGGAAGCTATATTTATATTTTGAAAAACTCAGGTCAATTATAGTAAATTTTCTTAAGTTTTCTGGAGTCTGTAGACTGTTTTCAGTATTCCATTTAAAACATAGAGAAATGAACAAAAAGCAGACCTATAACCTTGGTACTTATAATATGCCACTATGCTTACATCCTGTCGGCCATTTTTGAACTGTTTTTTTACATTAATATATGGTATGATAGTTCCATATACACTTTCCATTCTTTAGAATAAATTGTTACTGTAGGTGTATGTTGTTCCTTTTTGTCCTCCTTTTGCAGGTATGTTGGTAACTATGATTAAATAGGATTATCTTGGTCTTAATTTAGTCATAGTTCTATAAACAATGTTTACTCTTAAAGGGAAGTATCTGAGAAATGCTTATGCTTTGTTTATTAAATCTTGGCATGAGTCTTCAGTGCTCATTTGTGTGACTCAGCTTCAGACTGTTTTTAACTTACAAATATATAAAGGCACATATCTGATTTCAGTGTTATGTGTTTCAGGTTCTGTACGTGAGGAGAATGGAATAAGATGGCATGTTTGTACATACTGCTCTAAAGAATTTAAAAAACCTAGTGATCTAGTGCGCCACATTCGAATTCACACACATGAGAAGCCATTCAAGTGTCCCCAGTGTTTCCGCGCCTTTGCTGTGAAGAGCACTCTGACAGCACACATAAAAACACATACTGGCATTAAAGCTTTTAAGTGCCAGTATTGCATGAAATGTTTTTCCACTTCAGGAAGCTTAAAAGTTCACATTCGTCTGCATACAGGTAAGGCCTGTGAGTTATCCCTGTAGTTTTATATGATGTTTGGAAGACCTCCAAGAATAGACAGAGTTTGCTGCATAGACATCTAAGCGATGAGGTACCTTTTGTAAACATCTAATATAGAATGAAGTGTTTTGTCTCTTACATATGCCTTCATAAGAATTGGCAGGCCTATAAATTACTTGTATTATCTTTTGTTCACCAAATATTTTAACTTGTTCATGTCCCAATTCTCCCTGGTATGTGACTTTTTTCACTTCCTTTTTTCGGCTAAACCACAACTGTCTGCCTATGTTGTTTTCTTCCTTCACTCTTGTTTTTAATTTTCTCATGGAACAATTACCTGATGGGCCAGTACATTAGCTATTCCAGGCCTGCAGACAACACCCCTTATTTGTACTGTGGGACTACTGATTTATTGAAGGTGGTAGAGGTTTGTGAATCTGAGTTGAAAGTAGTGGTGAGTGCAGTAGTTCTAGATTCCAGTTTCTGTGATGTTTTGGCATGAGGTTTATCCTTCAGACATTCCTATAGGCTTTGCTACATAGTTACTACTCCCTCTTTTACCAATTTGGGAATTAAGTTTCCCTCTCACTTATAGAATGTGGATTGAATTATTTGTCCTTTACTTTTAAGTTAGCCATGTACAGGTTGAACCATTCTAGGTTAGCTCCCTTAGAACCTGACTGGTGCCGAGCTAGAGAATTTGCCAAAGCTGTGAGAGGTCAGTATTATAGTGAGTGGATCTCTTTATTTTTATTTCACTGGGGGAAATAAATGGAGCAGTGTGTGCAGTGCTGCTTAATAATGTATAACTGTACTGATTCATCCTATGTGAGCCTATGCCTAGCCAAGGCTTATCAGCTCTCTTCATGGCAAAGTATTAATGATGTTATGCAGTCTTACTGTATTGGCACAATGAAATAAGTAGATAAAGCATGCTTACACTTAGCAGCACTACCAACATTTTCACTACTTGCTGGTCTCTTAGAAGACATTTAGAGGTAATTTAGAGCTAAATAATAGCATAGAACACTGAGAGCAAGGACTGGCAGCAGTAAACAAACTTCACGGGACTGCGGGAAACTTGGTCACACGCATGATAAGTGGACAACTGACAAACTAAAATCATGTCAAACCGTGGATGTTGACAGACCAGAGAATGCTGGAATAGAGAGGTTGAAACAGTATATAAATAGCATACACGCAATTTCCCAGTTCTTTTCTCCTCCACCCCCTCGAAAAATATCAAAATACACATACCCTCCCCCATCTGATAATATCAATCTCTGTAAACGTACTGTTATAATTTTATTGTTTGGATTCTATAGTTTTTATTTCTACAGACCTGGAAGTAAACAATGAAGTAATGTATTTTAATCTCTTGCAGGTGTGAGACCTTTTGCTTGTCCTCACTGTGATAAAAAGTTTAGAACATCAGGCCACAGAAAGACTCATATTACTTCACACTTTAAACACACTGAACTACGAAAGATGCGACACCAGCGTAAACCTCCAAAAGTTCGAATAGGAAAGACCAGCGTTCCAGTACCGGATATTCCTTTGCAAGAACCCATACTCATCACTGATTTAGGTGAAAACTGAGTTAGCATATACTGTAATTTACTCATTGTAATCCTGAAATTTGGGTTTAGAATGTGAATGCAGTAGGGTACACTGTTAGGCAAAGGCGATGATAGTTTTACAATTCCATTTTAGTTGCTTACTCCTCTGACCTTCTAAAATACTTGTTATGGATTATGGGGAAGAAAGATGGGGGCAATATAGAAACTGTTTATGCCTGCTCTGCTTCAGCTAGAGACTCCACCATTGTGGGGAGATCAGGCAGCTTCCATTTACTTTGCTCATTCAAGTACCTACAGGAGTAGCATTGTTGGACTGGTGGATGGATCCAGCCAACCTGTGTATTAGAGTGTTTCGCCTCACTTTTTCTCACAATTTATTGTGGTAACAATTGCTTCTTCTCTAACTTAGAGATCTTTCCTAGGAAATCTATGAATGCAAGGTATATGGCTCAACAAAGTGTGGCTCATCACATGAGCCTAGGAGTTGAGGACTATTCATTTGTCCTGTCAGACTTTCTCCTTCATGTCAAGAAAAAGACTTTACAGTTCCTCATGGACAACGTTGCAGTGAATTTCTACATAAATGGAAATAAAGGGACTAGATCACACTGTTTCTGTTGAGAGCAATTGGTATTTGTGAGTTTTGTATCACCAATATCACGCAGCAAATTGCCCTGAACAGATCAGTAAGCAAAGATCATGAGTGGTTTTGCAGGCTGGCTATTGTGGGATTGATTTTTAGGGTCCTGTTTTGCTATTCATCTAAACAAAAAGTGTCAGGTTTTTTTGTTTTGTTTTTGTTCAAGGACATTCCATCTCTGATGGATGTGTGGCTGCAGTTTGGGAAAGGCAATCTGATGTACGCCTGCTTTCCCCATTCCCATTTTGCTCATTCCCAGGATGTTGCCAGGGCTCCTTTAACAGTACCTCTGAAATCTAACTTGAAACTTAGGACTGTGGATGCCTCTATATCTCTGACTGGCTGCTCTCCATCTTACAGCATGAATGCTCCATTATTAATGCCTCAGGAGGCAAGGCTCTCAAGGAATGTATCAAATGTTCTTCTGAATAGGTGAAAACCATCTATTAGATATGCTTACCTGTTGAAATGGAACTGATTCTTCCTACGGTCAAAGCAGATATTTTACCAGTCTGAACCTCTGTCCGACATAATTTTGACTGCTTGTTTCACCTAAAACAACAAGGCTTTATTGTAGTTCTGTAAGAATTCCCTGGTAACTCCTTCTATTTTTCATTCACCAATTGTGGGATTCTTAATATTTTCTGATCCCATGTCAATTCAATTTTAAAGGGTCTGGACAGGTTATAACCTCATGTCATGGATCCCATTTCTCCTGAGACTTAAATGCGCTGCTGCTGTGGTTTATGGATCCACCCTTTGAAGTGATGGCTACCTACTCTGAGGCATTTATCTGAAAGTAGCATTTTTGGTAGCTAATACCATTAGGAAAATTTTGTAAGTGACTGTCATTATGTTGTTTAGGTGTATCTCAAAAGGAAAAACAGTTATGTCTGCATCTGAAATTCCTAACTAAGTAGTATCAGAATTCTGCTTCAATCAAGCCATTTCTTAACTGACATTCTTTGCTAATCCTCATTCTCATAAGGGTAAGGAAAGGCTCCATGTCTTGGATGTCAGAAGGGTATTGTTGGACAGAACTAGGTGTTTTAGGTCACATTCATTTCAGTCATTAATGGGATGGAAGGCCTTTCATTTTCAGTGCAGAGGATTTTGTCCTGCTTTTGCCTGAACGGTTACACTGCCAACATGCTCCTTCCAGCCAGAGTGATAGTGCATTCTATAGCATCTCATGCAGGTTGTGCAGCCTTTTAAGCTCAAATACATGTAACAGATATTTGTCTTGATCATTGGTACATGCCTTTACAACCCTGTATCTCTGTGTGTACGAAAAGATGCCAAGTTTGGTCAAGTAGTTCATTAGTCATTGCTCAAGTACACTGAATGCTGCCTAGATTTTGAACTGCTTTGGAGTCATCTAAAATGAAGTGAACATATGCAATCAAAGAATTAAAACCCATTACTAACCTGTACCATAACTGTTGTTCTTTGAGGTATTGCACATGTCTAGTCCATGGCTCCATTCCCTTACACTCTCTCTTTTTCTCTCTCTCTCTCTCTCTCTCTCTCTCTCTCTCTCTCTCTCTCGGAGTCTGTCTGATAAGAAGCAACTGAGGGGGATAGGGTAGCTCCACCATTTTATACCATTGTGTAGCAGCGTGGAGCAACAGAGGTCACTTGCACCTCCTCCATGGGTACAACAGAGAGTAAAATGCATTAGATGTACACACCTGAAGTGGATTGGATATGTGTAACACATCTCAGAACAGTTACAGAACAGGTTAGTTAGTAAGTTTTTCTTCATGGGTCAGTTCTTCTCAGTGAGAACATGATAGAATTCATACTGCCTGAAAATCTGTGACTGAACGAGGCATTGTGGAGAGTGCTATACAGTAATTCCTCATTTAACAAGTGCCCAGCTTAACACGTTTTCGCAACAGCACAATTCTTTTTTTTAGGGAACATTTTTTGAATTCCACGACCGTCCCCGGAATAACACAGTTTCCCCAGCCAGTCCTATGCCAGTGGCTATGTGGGGCTTCCCCTGCCTCCCTGCAAAGCAGCGGAGGGTTTGCCACTTGTCGCGTCGTTCCCCACTTACTCCCTCTCGCCGGACGCCTTGCCCCCTCTCCTACACCCCACTTGTAGGCCAGTGGCGGGGTTTCCCAGCAGACCCAGCACAGGGGCATGCTCCCAATCCAATCCCTCTCCTCTTCCCTCCCCTTTCCTTCCCCAGAGCCAAACATCTCCCCTCCCTGTTGTAACCCAGTCCCCTTTCTCCCCCAACCTTATGTCCCAGTCCCAACAGACACCACCACTTGAAATGCAACCCCCATCTTTTCCATTATTTTCAATGGGAAAATTGACCTCGCATAACACGTTTTCACTTAACACGATCATTTTCTGAAACATATCTATAGTGTTAAATGAGGAATTACTGTATAGTACACAGTAGTACTTTTTTTTTATAGTGTCCTTACCATTGCCTGTCTTGAAAGATCATGGTGTTTTATTGAGTTTCAGAATCCTTTATTGAGTTTCAGAATCTGGGTTGCTAATAATTTAAAGTAGATAGATTGCTTATTCAATAAGTAAAATCTTTTAACTTTTATAAAAGGAGTTTAAATGTTTTGGTTCCATCTTCCTACAAGTTTTTGTTTTAAGAATCTCTTGACACTAATAATCTTAGAATACATCAAAAAACATAGTAGTCAGATTCGACAGGTTTTTTGTTTGGTGTGTATTTCAAGTACAATTATTCAACTTTATTTTTTAGACAAAAGAGGAAATAGAAGCATATTTTGTTCTGTGGTGGAATTAAATGTCTCCAGTTATTAGATTGATTTCATTAAATTACACGTTTTTAATGGCTAAAATTGTGAAATATGTGGAAAGGCAGTTTTTTACAGATATGTTGTAGTTCCCATAGGTTACTGGGTTTGAAATGTGCAGTGCAGGAATCTGAGCTTCTACTGCTCTTCCAAGAGGGGCACCTTCTCTCTGGTAACATTTGAGTGTTCTCAAAACTATAATTTTCTGTGAATGGTGATGAGAAATTCCAAGCTGCAAAGGTCTTTACTACGTGTTGATGGTATGGTTGAACTAGTTCTCTACAGAAAATTAGAAGATGTGGGTTTTATTTTATTGTTAAAAATATTTATTTAATTTTTATTTTATTTGCTCATGGGTCAATATATATTTTAGGTAGGTTTCTTTATATATTTCCTATAGGGATATAAGCAAGTAGTCGACTAACCGATAAGCAAAAGCTTATCAGATAGTCAACACACTAGTCGTTTCCATTCACCAATTGTGGGATTCTTAATATTTTCTGATCCCATGTCAATTCAATTTTAAAGGGTCTGGACAGGTTATAACCTCATGTCATGGATCCCATTTCTCCTGAGACTTAAATGCGCTGCTGCTGTGGTTTATGGATCCACCCTTTGAAGTGATGGCTACCTACTCTGAGGCATTTATCTGAAAGTAGCATTTTTGGTAGCTAATACCATTAGGAAAATTTTGTAAGTGACTGTCATTATGTTGTTTAGGTGTATCTCAAAAGGAAAAACAGTTATGTCTGCATCTGAAATTCCTAACTAAGTAGTATCAGAATTCTGCTTCAATCAAGCCATTTCTTAACTGACATTCTTTGCTAATCCTCATTCTCATAAGGGTAAGGAAAGGCTCCATGTCTTGGATGTCAGAAGGGTATTGTTGGACAGAACTAGGTGTTTTAGGTCACATTCATTTCAGTCATTAATGGGATGGAAGGCCTTTCATTTTCAGTGCAGAGGATTTTGTCCTGCTTTTGCCTGAACGGTTACACTGCCAACATGCTCCTTCCAGCCAGAGTGATAGTGCATTCTATAGCATCTCATGCAGGTTGTGCAGCCTTTTAAGCTCAAATACATGTAACAGATATTTGTCTTGATCATTGGTACATGCCTTTACAACCCTGTATCTCTGTGTGTACGAAAAGATGCCAAGTTTGGTCAAGTAGTTCATTAGTCATTGCTCAAGTACACTGAATGCTGCCTAGATTTTGAACTGCTTTGGAGTCATCTAAAATGAAGTGAACATATGCAATCAAAGAATTAAAACCCATTACTAACCTGTACCATAACTGTTGTTCTTTGAGGTATTGCACATGTCTAGTCCATGGCTCCATTCCCTTACACTCTCTCTTTTTCTCTCTCTCTCTCTCTCTCTCTCTCTCTCTCTCTCTCTCTCTCGGAGTCTGTCTGATAAGAAGCAACTGAGGGGGATAGGGTAGCTCCACCATTTTATACCATTGTGTAGCAGCGTGGAGCAACAGAGGTCACTTGCACCTCCTCCATGGGTACAACAGAGAGTAAAATGCATTAGATGTACACACCTGAAGTGGATTGGATATGTGTAACACATCTCAGAACAGTTACAGAACAGGTTAGTTAGTAAGTTTTTCTTCATGGGTCAGTTCTTCTCAGTGAGAACATGATAGAATTCATACTGCCTGAAAATCTGTGACTGAACGAGGCATTGTGGAGAGTGCTATACAGTAATTCCTCATTTAACAAGTGCCCAGCTTAACACGTTTTCGCAACAGCACAATTCTTTTTTTTAGGGAACATTTTTTGAATTCCACGACCGTCCCCGGAATAACACAGTTTCCCCAGCCAGTCCTATGCCAGTGGCTATGTGGGGCTTCCCCTGCCTCCCTGCAAAGCAGCGGAGGGTTTGCCACTTGTCGCGTCGTTCCCCACTTACTCCCTCTCGCCGGACGCCTTGCCCCCTCTCCTACACCCCACTTGTAGGCCAGTGGCGGGGTTTCCCAGCAGACCCAGCACAGGGGCATGCTCCCAATCCAATCCCTCTCCTCTTCCCTCCCCTTTCCTTCCCCAGAGCCAAACATCTCCCCTCCCTGTTGTAACCCAGTCCCCTTTCTCCCCCAACCTTATGTCCCAGTCCCAACAGACACCACCACTTGAAATGCAACCCCCATCTTTTCCATTATTTTCAATGGGAAAATTGACCTCGCATAACACGTTTTCACTTAACACGATCATTTTCTGAAACATATCTATAGTGTTAAATGAGGAATTACTGTATAGTACACAGTAGTACTTTTTTTTTATAGTGTCCTTACCATTGCCTGTCTTGAAAGATCATGGTGTTTTATTGAGTTTCAGAATCCTTTATTGAGTTTCAGAATCTGGGTTGCTAATAATTTAAAGTAGATAGATTGCTTATTCAATAAGTAAAATCTTTTAACTTTTATAAAAGGAGTTTAAATGTTTTGGTTCCATCTTCCTACAAGTTTTTGTTTTAAGAATCTCTTGACACTAATAATCTTAGAATACATCAAAAAACATAGTAGTCAGATTCGACAGGTTTTTTGTTTGGTGTGTATTTCAAGTACAATTATTCAACTTTATTTTTTAGACAAAAGAGGAAATAGAAGCATATTTTGTTCTGTGGTGGAATTAAATGTCTCCAGTTATTAGATTGATTTCATTAAATTACACGTTTTTAATGGCTAAAATTGTGAAATATGTGGAAAGGCAGTTTTTTACAGATATGTTGTAGTTCCCATAGGTTACTGGGTTTGAAATGTGCAGTGCAGGAATCTGAGCTTCTACTGCTCTTCCAAGAGGGGCACCTTCTCTCTGGTAACATTTGAGTGTTCTCAAAACTATAATTTTCTGTGAATGGTGATGAGAAATTCCAAGCTGCAAAGGTCTTTACTACGTGTTGATGGTATGGTTGAACTAGTTCTCTACAGAAAATTAGAAGATGTGGGTTTTATTTTATTGTTAAAAATATTTATTTAATTTTTATTTTATTTGCTCATGGGTCAATATATATTTTAGGTAGGTTTCTTTATATATTTCCTATAGGGATATAAGCAAGTAGTCGACTAACCGATAAGCAAAAGCTTATCAGATAGTCAACACACTAGTCGTTTCTCCCCCCCCCCGCTGCCTCTATCAGAAAGAGACATCAAGGGGAGGAGGGGAGAATAGTAGGGCGTACTGGAGGGAGCCGGTTCCTCCCAGCTGCATGAGAGGGCGCAGCAGCGGCGTTCCACCTTTGAAATGTGGGGCTCTTGTACATTTCAAATGGAAGTGCCACACGGAGCCTGGGGCCAGTGCTCAGCACAAACCCCTTCCCCTCCCCTACCTGGCTTCTGCCTTTTTTAATCCGTCGGTCGCTGGCCGTGGCGTCATGCCAGCGTCCTGGCATCTGCTGGCGTCTGGCTCGCGCCCCGCCTCCTTGCACCGGAGCTGCATGCAGGCAGCCCGGTGGCGAAAATCACTGCACTTCCTCCTCCCCTCCTCTGCCCAGCTGGTGGTTCGGATGGGGCCACGCCACCTGTAGTTGTCATGGGCTGCACAGTGAGCCTCTGTGGGCCGCATGCGGCCCTCGGACTGCATGTTGTGCAGGCCTGAGTTAGAGATAAATGGGCAGTTTGAAGATCTAAAACCTGGCTATTGCTGTGAATTTAAGCAGCACAAGTGGATCTTAGTTTTAAAAAGAAGTAAATTATACAGTAACTCTTTACAAGAGTGGACACTACAGGTATGCACAGGACCCTGTTTTCAGTTCAAAGATGTCTGAATGATTTTGGACCTTTTTTTCTTGAGAAATCTGCTGCTACCCCACATTCTGTCTCGTCATTTGAAAAGAGGTGTTTTGTTTTGTGTTTTGGTTAATTTTCTGAGACTAAGACTTGGACAGTTAATAACAGGAACTCTTCCCTTATTTCCAGAGCTGAATTTGGCTTCTTAAGGGTACATTGTATAAATTGTATCTGTTTAAATAAATGTTTTTCCTCAATGAATTTCTTATGACACTGAAAAGATGACTACCAATTAGCGGAGGTAGATGTTGAGCAAAGAAAATAATTTCCACACACTATTTCAAATGTAGGTTTTATGTAATGTGAGGAAGACCAGTGCTACCTACAGGGTATCACTTGTATGAACGCTTTCAGTTAAATCTCACGTTACGTGACAGTGGGATAACATGAAATACAGCTAATTAAATGTCATATGATATAACTTAAATAAGATCCCTCTATAGGACTTCAGTCAGTTGCTAGTGAATTAGTTGGGTTTTATTTAACTTACTTTGGATTTTGTTGAAAATAAACATAATATGGATTTATAGGATTATATTTGCAGTTTACTGTAAGGGGCTAGAGCCATTAGTGCTACAAGGAACTGTGCAGCTAAGGTACCACACATACCGTATTTTCCGGCGTATAGGGCGACTGGGTGTATAAGACGACCCCCTATCTTTTTAATTAAAAGATAGGGTTTCATCTTATCCCCCAGCGCCCCTCCGCCTCCTTTGCTCCCGGTGTCCCTGGTCTGCTGGAGATGGTCCCCAGCAGACCAGAGGCACCGGGAGCAAAGCCGCCAGGAGCGCCTGGGCTGCCCCCCCCGCCGGAGCCCCTCCGCGGCTTTGAAAGCCTCGGGGAAAGCCGGCGGCGGGGCATCCCAGGCGCGCCTGGGCTGCGCCCCCGCCGGCTTCCCCCGAGGCTTTCAAAGCCGCGGAGGGGCTCCGGTGGGGGCGCAGCCCAGGCGCGCCTGGGATGCCCCGCCGCCGGCTTCCCCCGAGGCTTTCAAAGCCGCGGAGGGGCTCCGGTGGGGGCGCAGCCCAGGCGCGCCTGGGATGCCCCGCCGCCGGCTTCCCCCGAGGCTTTCAAAGCCGCGGAGGGGCTCCGGTGGGGGCGCAGCCCAGGCGCGCCTGGGATGCCCCGCCGCCGGCTTCCCCCGAGGCTTTCAAAGCCGCGGAGGGGCTCCGGTGGGGGCGCAGCCCAGGCGCGCCTGGGATGCCCCGCCGCCGGCTTCCCCCGAGGCTTTCAAAGCCGCGGAGGGGCTCCGGTGGGGGCGCAGCCCAGGCGCGCCTGGGATGCCCCGCCGCCGGCTTCCCCCGAGGCTTTCAAAGCCGCGGAGGGGCTCCGGTGGGGGCGCAGCCCAGGCGCGCCTGGGATGCCCCGCCGCCGGCTTCCCCCGAGGCTTTCAAAGCCGCGGAGGGGCTCCGGTGGGGGCGCAGCCCAGGCGCGCCTGGGATGCCCCGCCGCCGGCTTCCCCCGAGGCTTTCAAAGCCGCGGAGGGGCTCCGGTGGGGGCGCAGCCCAGGCGCGCCTGGGATGCCCCGCCGCCGGCTTCCCCCGAGGCTTTCAAAGCCGCGGAGGGGCTCCGGTGGGGGCGCAGCCCAGGCGCGCCTGGGATGCCCCGCCGCCGGCTTCCCCCGAGGCTTTCAAAGCCGCGGAGGGGCTCCGGTGGGGGCGCAGCCCAGGCGCGCCTGGGATGCCCCGCCGCCGGCTTCCCCCGAGGCTTTCAAAGCCGCGGAGGGGCTCCGGTGGGGGCGCAGCCCAGGCGCGCCTGGGATGCCCCGCCGCCGGCTTCCCCCGAGGCTTTCAAAGCCGCGGAGGGGCTCCGGTGGGGGCGCAGCCCAGGCGCGCCTGGGATGCCCCGCCGCCGGCTTCCCCCGAGGCTTTCAAAGCCGTGGAGGGGCTCCGGCAGCGGGGCATCCGGTGTACAAGACGACCCCCGATTTTTGGGGGATGTTTTTTAACATCAGAGGTCGTCTTGTACGCCGGAATATACGGTAATTTTGAATAGATGCTGTAAAGATGTCTAAATCTTTTCCTGTTATTATTTATTAACAATATTTATAAAATAGGTATTGTTCTTTTAAAATGGTCAGTCTCTATACCATTGCAGCTTTACCAAATAATTCAATTTTGTTCTTTGTTTTATACATGCAGGTCTTATCCAGCCGATCCCAAGGAATAGCCAGTTTTTCCAAAGTTATTTTAATAATAGTTTTGGAAATGAAGCAGACAGGCCATACAAGTGTTTTTACTGCAGTCGTGCATATAAAAAATCTTGTCATCTTAAGCAACATATCAGGTAAAATAAACACAAAAGAGAAAGGAAATGTATTTAATACAATTTAATGTTAGGACAATTAAAATGGAAGAATAATTTGTGTAAAGTGTTTATAGGACTCCTTGCCAAGGCTTCAGTTCTATTACTTTGCTGTCCTTTACTTGTGAAACTACAAAATTCACTTGAAGTCAGGTTGGTCCAGATCTGGACTAAGGCTTTATCTACATTTGCAATTGATCAACAAAGCTTTTGTTGTTCACAGGTGCTTAAATTCCACCCTCCTTCACCCTCACCCCCCGATCCACTAAATGACTTAAAATTTTGCTGCAGCAAGTGTAGACGCTGCTTACAATGCAAAAGCCATTCCTGTGGCTAGAAGTACTTTTGTGAGGCAAAAATGCCAACAAATGGCATTCACATACACCAACTTTTAGCAGCTGAGTTGTTTGACACTTCCTTTTTGCTAAATGCTGCATGGTGTTAGACATAGCCTAACTTGTACCCTGCTGTACAAATTGATGAGCTTATGTTGAAGGGACTAATTACTTATTTAACTGCTGTAACTAAAAAAATGAAACTGGGTTTGTAACTGAATACATATTTTTCTGTGCACACAATTCACGGCTAGTGGTTATCAGTGCATACTTTCTTATTGGTCATTTGATTGAAGTTTAATTGGAGCCTGTGCAGGGGAACATATTGTATTGTAGTTTTCACACTCTTCTGCCAGCTCTATCTGTGCTATGCTGCAAGATTGGTCATTTGTACCTCGTCACTTTCAACTTGTGCCTCCTCCAATCACATTTCCTTAATTCTAGTTCTTTTCTCTACCACTTAGGCTTCTCATACATGCTCTGATCTCCTTGCACAGCCAGTCTGTTTCCTTTCCCATTGACTCCTTATATTTGTCTTCACACTCATCCACTGGTGTCCAGTCTCAGCACCCCAATCCTTAGTTGCCATATCCGTGCTCAAGTTCCTTCTCCCAATCTGCTCTTTACACCATCCTTGTCTGGTTCCATAGTCTAATCAGGGACCTGGTGGGTGTTCGTGTGCATGTGCAAGTCTCTACTGAGATTTTTCAAAGACTTGGTTAATTATGCATGTATTTTCACGGGAACAGCAAAAGGCATATCTTGGATACAAAAGCTATCCCTTGACCAGTTTCAAGTCCTTGCACCCATTTTTGGAAATGGCTACATTGTTTTAGATAAAATTCTCCCAATAGTAGTAGAGGTTGAACCTTTCTGGTCTGGGGCTCTCTAGTTTGGCAACATCAGTGGTCCTGTTGGACCAGAGAGCCCTGGCTCAGGGCAGCAGAGTCCCAGCAGCCTGGGACAGCCATGGTACTTTGGAGTCCCAGCGGTTCTGGCCCTGAGGCAGCAGAGCTCTGGTGAACCTTTCTGATCTGTCAACATCTATTGTCCTCCTGGACCAGAGAGCTCTGGCTCAGGGCAGTGGAGTCCTGGCAGCCTGTGGTAACTCTGTGGTTGCAGAATCCTGGCAGTTATGGCCCCAGAGCAGGGGAGCCTGGCTATCTGCTGACAGATCCTGAAAGAGCAGCCAATATCCAGCAAACCCTCTCCTTTTAGACTGGTCAGGTCCTGAGAGCGCTGGACTAGGCAGGTCAAACCTATACTAGTAATACTTAATAATCAGCATTAGCATCAGTTGTCAAGCAGAATTTCAGCTCAAATATTTTAAGTTTGGCAAAGTTATAAACAACTACCAACCTTACCTATAATTATGTGCTTAAGTGTAATTACATAACCAATTTATCTTATATTTTTAGGTTTTGTTGAATAAAATGTTAAATGCTCTTTGGTTATGTTTTTTCCCCAATTTGTTCTTTCATTTCTTTTTCTTTTTTTCAAGATCACACACTGGTGAGAAGCCATTTAAGTGTTCTCAATGTGGAAGAGGTTTTGTGTCAGCTGGAGTGCTAAAAGCACATATTAGAACTCATACTGGACTGAAAGCTTTTAAGTGTCTTATATGTAATGGGGCATTCACTACTGGTGGTAGCCTCAGGCGGCACATGGGCATCCATAATGATCTCCGACCATATATGTGTCCATATTGTCAAAAAACATTCAAAACGTCATTAAACTGCAAAAAGCACATGAAAACTCATAGGTAGGTATACAACTTTTTAAAAAAACTTTCAGTACATTTCAGTAGTTCAACCCTAAAGCTTCCTTAAAACCTACTGTGATTTGAGCTATGTATTATTATGTGGGTTCTAAAAAGAATTAAGAGTAATTTGATTGGCATAATTCATTAGGAAAATTTCCTTGTTAGCATCTAGCATAATGGGTCCTGGTGTATAACTGAAGCATCTAGGAACTATTTCAATACATATACATTGTGATAAAAGAGTAGAACTGTTTTAGAAAGAGTTTAAATAGTGTCTGGGGGGTCGGCATTATTTGCAAATAAAACATCTCACCTTTCATTCTCAGGTATGAGCTTGCACAGCAGCTGCAGCAGCATGAGCAAGCTGCTTCAATAGATGATTCAACAGTAGATCGACAGAGCATTCATGTTTCTACTCAGATGCAAGTAGAGATTGAAAGTGATGAGCTGCAGCAGCCAGAAGCTGCCACAGCAGATCAAGAAGCTATTTTAGAACTAGACCAGCAGCAGGTAGTAGCCACAGAAGAAACAGGACTGGGGCAACAATTGACTGACCAGTCTTTAGAACAAGATGAAGGTATATATTCAGTGTATCAAAAACCACCCAAAAAATATCAGTTATAGGTGAAGTTCTCAAATGATCTTGCCTCGAAAACTTTCATGAATTTGGCTTGAAGACTTCTGAAATAATGGTTTAGAAAAACATTTTCTATAAAAGCGTACAATAATTATTTAAATGTATGTACATTACTTAATTTTTCTTAGCCTGCTTAATTGTGAAAAATGTATGGGGAAATACAAAAAAATTATATTAATTCTTGTCCATTTTTATTGGAAAACATATTTAAACAATAAATCACAAAAATATGCAGTGTAGTATTTTATACAAGCATTTTCTTTTTACATCACCATCTGCTAGCACAGGACTGCTCGGACAAATAATTATAAAATAATAAAGCTTAAATAAAGACCTATCACATAAATTTAGTTGTGACTAATTTTATATTTACCTAATTAATTTGCATTTTCTTTTCTTGAATTTATGTTCCTGATTTCAGATAGGTTTGTGACATCCCAGCATACTTTACAGGAGAACATCAATCAGTTTGAACAGCAAGCTCTAACACAGCCGTCATTTGATCAACAAGGGTTATCACAAGGTTAGTTATAGATATCAGTTTTTAAAATTGTAGCTCTTAGTAAATTTGTTCCTAAAGTACTAGAATTAAAAGCCTTAATTCTGTGCACACACAATTTGGGTAACCTTTGTGTTTAGCTGTCCCATTGGTGCATGCAGAAGGAGTTCTACTAAAAACCTGATGTTAAATATTTTGAAAATAAACTTTGAAAAATTAAGAGCTTATTTCGCTTATTTAAACTTACCTAGATTTTCCATTAAAATGATTTCTATCTAATGGTTATAGCATGAGATTTGAAGTCAGTCATTTTGTATTTTGTTCCTAGTTTGTGTCACCATGAGCTGTCTGCATGGTATTTTCTATCTGAACTAAACAACATATAAATGGAAGACAGTAATGTTTGCCAACCTCACAAAGATGTTGAGGCTTAATTAATGCCTGTAAAGAATTTTGAGAATATTGATGAAAAATCATCAATGCACAGCATTAGCTTATAAAATTTACACTACTGCCATAGCAATGCCCTATACCATTTGCAAAAAAATATGCAAAATCAAAATACAAAAATCTCCTATTAATTTGTTATTTTTGTGTGTGTGTGTGTGTGTGTGTGTGTGTGTGTGTGTGTGTGTGTGTGTGTGTGTGTGTGTGTGTTACCAAAGTTGGGTAAATCTAGTGATATTAGAGTGAGTGATGGAAGCATAATAACATTAAGAATTGGCTGGATCCCCAAACCATTCATTTTTAGATACTTGAGTATTGGCGCTTATTGAAGCTGCAAAATACATTTTTAAAGGAAGCATTAATAATTTTGCATGTGACCTAGACTCTACTGTAACTTTCAATCTCAATTCTTTGTAAAGAAGCTTTTGCTCGGGAATGGTCATGTGTTTGAATGGGTATCAAAAATTTAACTATGGCTGTCATAAAAGGTCTGCAGAGGCCTACCAAAAGGCTTATCTTTTGAAAGTTTCAGCAAATCAGGAAGAGAAAGAATATGAGATAGTGTGATTAGTAGTGAAGCAGATGATTACCGGAAGGCTCTTCCTTCCCTTTTGGTTCCTTGTGTCCTCTCTTCTTTCCTCTCTCAACTCAGGTTCATCTCCTGGTGGCTCCTCTAAATATCTCTTATTTCCCACCCAAGACCTCTGTACTCACCTCTTTCCTAGCATGCATGTCTCATCCTGCGTCATCACCTCGCTTTACTCCCTTGTATACACCAGTGTGTCCTTTTATCCTCTCCGTCTTGCTTCTGTTCTACGCCTTACCTCTTCTGTCCCTTTCACCCTCTTGTGGATGGCTGCTTTGCCTGTCCTACTCATCTCCTTTGTCCTCATCCCATATTCTCCAGTGTCTTTCATTCAGAAACTGGGAAGCAGTACTTCATGTCATTGCTCCATGTATCTCTCAGTCCACAGTTTTCTAATACCCTCTGCTTTTACTATGTGTCATCCTAGACTTCTGCCCTGACATGCTTCTACCTGGTTTCCTACCACCGATTTCTGATTCAGGCTTGGCCTACATAACAAAGTGATCTTACATCAACCTAATTTTATCAGTGAACAGACTGTAGCCGTATCCCACTAAGGCAAGTGCCTTACTACACCAACATAATAACCTGCAGAAGAGGGGTAGGGCTTATGTTGGTGTAGTTTATAGACAGTGTCTCTGTAGACCAGGGATGGGAAATAATTTTCATAGCGGGGCCACTTAATGAATTTTGGTATTTAGTTATGGGCTGCTCTACTCATCCCGAAGAGGCATGGTCTCTGGGTAGGAAAGGGACAGGGCTGGGGACTAGCCTCCCCCCCCAGAATTGTCTGGGCTCGAGGCTTTAAATTAAAAACACAGCAATGGGCTCATGGTTCCCAGCCCTGCCTTACTGTGTTGCCTGGCAGCTGCCCAAGATTGCTGTGGCTATTTAAAGGTATCATGGGTCCAGCTCCTGCCAGGATAGCACCATGGCTGGGAACTGAGAGCCCCATTTAAACAGGATCCTGCTGCCTGAGCCGCTGCCTGGAAATTTGGTGACACAGGCAGCAGGATATTAATAGAAAGTGGCCAGATGCAGTCCGCTGGCTGGATCAAAGTGTTAGGCCTGCTGGATCCGGCCTCTGGGTTGCATCTTGCCCAACCTTGGTGTAGACACTGCCTTACTTATTATCTTGTCAAAGGCTGGAGCCCTGAAAGAACAAAGCTGGGTGTCTAGAGCCTGACTGCACTCAGCTCCCTGCTCCAGTCAGGCTGTGCCTGCCTCATTTCCCAGTTCATGGCAGGTAGGGGAGATGCTCAGGCAGCTGCCTCCCATGCTCCCAACTTAAGACTGTAGTTTAGACATGTCCTCAGATGCTCCAGCAGTAAAGCCAGTCATTAATGGATCATTTGAAAATTATTTTTCTGATATTTACCAAAGTTTCCAGAAAAATACCTCTGGAATGTAGAATGTGGAATGCAGAACTTGAAGATGATCCGTTTCTGATTGTGACTGGGGAGTGGTTTAAAATTTGGATTTATGGAAACTTAGTTCTAAATTTAATTATATAATGCCTATTGATGCTTCCTAATTGTAAGTAAATGGTTAGAATTACTATTGATTTTCATTTCCTTGATTTTTAATTTGGTTCCTTGTCTAGTTAAATAGCGCCCTTTACAAAGATATAGTTGCCTCTCTTTACTTCAGTGTGTAACACAATTTGGGATATAGTTGTGTTTTGCTTGTTTTTTTATTCTTTGTTATAATGCATGTATAAGATTTGAGAGAAAGTATTAATGTCTCCAGATTTATTAAGCAGGCAGGCCTGATCCAAATCCATTGAAATCCATTGGAATTTTGTGATTGCCATCCCATCTGAGATCTTTCCAAAATTGCAGAAACAACTGATTTTTCTCAAACTGTTCATTTTAGATTGAGAAATTATACTATTTTCATCTCAAAGTATAATATAATTTATGCTTCAGTTTCAGTATATTACTTACCAGTTAGTAAATATGCATTGGTAAATGCTTTTTCTGGAAAAAAATGTTTTGGAGTCTTAGTAGTATTCATTTTTAACATAGAAATATATGCTGCTCAACATGATTTAAAAAACGTGATAAAAATTTCATTTGTATAAGATTTCTCCTGTTCTACTTGGAATCTCATCCACAGATTCCCAACTCTTTGAAGTTTCCTTGAAGATCTTGGAGCCCTTCAGTTTTTTTGAATTTCAGGTAGGTAAGCATATGCGCGGATGCATGCGTTAAATTGGTCGACCCTCTCCCTATGTCTGCATCTGTGCTTCATGCTCCTCAGTTCCTTTTTCCTGCCAACTAGGTAGGACATCTGAGTCTCAGAAATTTATATTTTCTTTCCTTGGTATTTATAGGCTGCAATTCTTGTTAAATGTATTGGTTAAATATTTAGTTTATTAATAAAACAGTGTTGGAGTATTCTGAAATTTTCATACGTTTTACTTCAAATAACCATCCAACCAACTCCTATATTTGTAAAAGAACAGATGTAGACTATCAGGATCATACATGACATTTTTCTTGTAGCAATTTTACAGGATGCCTGTTTTGTTCAGATAGACTTCATTTCTTTTACCATTCACACTTTTTTAAAAAAAGAGTTGATTCCTTCCCTGAGGGTAATATAGGCCAGAACTGTAATCTGTTATTCACTTGGTCTGATTTTGACAACATCAAGAATACGAAATCAGTGAATTTTTCTTGAGAGATTCTACATGCGAATACTCTATGATTCTTTATTTAAAGATATCTTTGGTGGATCAGAGGTAGTGCTTTTCAAGAAAATTGTTTTTGGGATTATGACTTTCCAATTACTGAACATCAGTTGGCATAGACCACTCTCGTTAATGGATCATTTCACCATTCTCTCCTTTGATGCCTTTCTCTAAGTGCAGTTGGATGCAACAAATATAGGTAGTATCGGTGATTGTACTGGGTTTTCAGAGGTCTCTGCTGTCATTCTGCTGACTAACGTGTTGAGATCATGGTTTGTGATCTCAGTTCTTGCAATTGAAACTCTTTCAGTGATGGTTCAGGACTTAAAGGTTCTGATTCTGCTCAAGGTTTGCCTGAGCATGCAGCCTAGCTGGTGCCAGTAGATTTAGTTAATAAGCAGGCATACAGAATATTTAGTTGGCAGTTTCGTGTTTTCATAGAGATCCAAATGTGCATATAAATTCCTTTAAATTGTTTAAAGGATGTCAATTTTGGAACTGAAGACTCTAGATTATTACTCAAAATTCAGATGCAATATTTCCCACAGGATGCTATAGTTTGTGGCCCTTATATATAGGACTTCTGTTTTCTGATAATGGGCTGATTTCCAGGATATTTCTTCAGTATAACTTCATGTGGAAGTGAAGGAAAATGTCCTTAACCCAAGAAAGCGCAAACTTCACAAATAGATCATCATGCTGCAAGTAGTATAGCATCTCATTCAGGACTGAGAAGGACTTGAAGAACTCTGTGTAAGATCAGAAGCTTTTTCTCTTTCACAACAGAAGTTGGTCCAGTACAATAAATTCTCTGACGCCTTGTGTCTCTGATACCCTGGCTCCAACACACTGTAAACAGGGACTGTCCAGTAATAGACCCCTGTGAATCTACTCAATTCCAAATATCCCCTGTTCCATGTCAGGGAAGGATGAAGCCCTGTAAGGTTTTCAGGTGAAAGGGTATGGTCTTTTGATTAAAGCACAGGAGAGCTGGGTTCTATATGTGGCTCTGCCACAGAATTCATGTGTAGCCATGGTTGGTAAGATGCATAATTTCTTCATCTTCTTAGTCCCAGGTATAAATAGATGAACTGTAAAAGTACAGTAATAGTAGATACCATCAGCATTTCTCAGAACTGTGAAGTTGCTGTATTGAATTCCCAGATTCATTTAAAAGATTAGAGAGAGTTTGAAATATGATCTTAATACAAGGAATTAAGCAGACCAATGTGGGTCTCAGATGTTTCTTGTTGTACCTTCAGTTCTTACTCAGGCCAGAACTTCTTTCACAGGCATGGACTAATTCTTCAATGTGACCAAACAGCAACTCTGATTGTACAGGTCTTTCTTCTGAGCATTTTGTTTGAAAGTTTGAAATTGTTCCAGAATTTTTTTGAAATTGTTCAGAATATCAAATAATCTCTTTACCGCAAAACATTGAATTGAAATGGATAATGTTATGTTATAGTGAGACATTTTATTACCCTTGTCTAAAGAAAAAGATACTGTGTTACCTCATCTTGACTTGATTGGTTTTGTAGGTGGTCTCTTTTGGTGTACTTAACTTATTTGGGTTTTTTGGATGGGTTGGGGAAGGCATTGTCCAAGTTCTTCTAAAAGTCATCATTTTTGCTTTTGAATTTCTTGTTTTTTTCAAAGATAGCCTCAATATGTTCTCACTGAAACATTTTCTTTGCTATCAGATATAAATTTGATCCCAAACAATCTTCTTGATCATTACTTTAAACTTTCATTAAAGCATTCTTCAGGGTACTTTTTGTTACCCCAGCCAGGAGAATAAATGATCTATAGCATCTGTTAAACAAGCTGACCATCAGTAAAAGAGGGATTCTGATCCTGAAGTTATGTACTTTTTTTCCTGAGGGTTTCATCTGAATTTCACTTTGGAAGAAAATAAGATTCAGTAAGTTTGATTGATGTAGGAAAGAAAACTATAAAAACTATACTTTCACACTAAGTGTTTAGGTGTAGCAAGAGTTAGAGCCCCTTTAAGGTTTTGCCTACAATTATTGGTGATTTTACTATCCTGATAACTGTGTTTCTCTGTTGTGAGGATTACCATCCGAGAGACTGGAAGGAAAGTTCTGCTTTCTCCTTGCACATCCCTGTGACTGAAATTTAGTAATCTGCAAACATTTTGTAAAGCATTGTGGTTTAGAATCTGATGCTGTTGTGGTCATTTGATGTGCTTGTACAGTTCTACATTATTTTCTTAATCTTCATCTGTTGCCTATTAAAGGCAAACTACACAGCAAAAATAAAATTGTGCCCTTTTACTGTTCCTTAATGATGCATAATTATGTCTGATTCTGTTTCTCCAAATTTTCTATTTGTTTTTATAATAGCAATACCAGATCCTGCCTTCTTTCTTACTTTCTTTCCTCTTGTTGTTAAACAGTTATGTTTGATGTTGGTGACAGAACAGGCTGAAATCTGAGTTATACTTTCCTGGCTTTCAATGAGCCTTTTGTGATGGAATGGTTCCATTTATTGCTTCAGTATAGAGAGGGAGGTTACAATCTGATATATTCAAAGTAAAAACACAGAGAAAAGTAATCTGAGGCCATCTTTATCAGACATATACAGAAACGCAATTTTATTTTTACTTTGAACTTGCTTTTAAAAGGCTCTGCAAGGCTCTTCTTTACTATAATCTAAAGAGTGGGAATATGTGGAGGAGATCCAAAGTGGAGAAAATGGGGTTACTTTATCAGAAACTGGAGTTCTCCTATTGGGTCATCTCCTCCACTCACCCGCCATACTCCCCTCTGAGCTTCGCAATTTTGTGATTGGCTTCCAGTGTGAGTAAGGGAGTGTGATATCAACATGAATATGAATAAAGGGAGCTGGGTCAACCTGTTTGACACATGCATGCTTACATACAAGAAATTCAAAATTTCAATGGCTCTGAGGTATTTGAGGCTTCTTGAAGAAACTTCAAACTGTTGTTCTGTGGAGGAGATTGTCTAATAGAACTCCAGCTAATGGTAAGTAACCCTATTACTGTGAATATTTAATAGATGTTCAGATATGCATATGCATTTTACTTGTGTTTACTAATAAAGAGTGTAATGTTGTAATTTTCTGCTGTAAATTATTATTTAATATTTTTTTGAAGTTGCTATTTAAATAAGTTGTGTACTATTTATTTGTCCTATTTTCCGTTTTGTTCATTTTCCATTATTCTGGGCTTTTGACTTTCTTTTATTTATGTCAGGTTTTACAGTGAATGACAGCTACAATCAACAGAATCAATTTCCAGCTGTACAGCAGCTACAGGATTCAAGCACACTTGAGTCTCAGGCTCTTTCAACAAGTTACCATCAACCAAATCTTCTTCAAGTTCCTAACACAGAAACTATTAACGTAGTGAGTATATATGAAAGATAGAATTTATTGTTGTTCATTTCTTGATGTTGACCTTGTGAAGAGAGTAGCCTCTTTCAGAGGATGTTCATGTAACCACCAAGAAAATAAGGGAATGTTCCAGAAGAATTTTCGCTTAATTATTAATCACAATAAAAGCAAAACAAAATGGGGGAAAAAACAAAAAACAACAAAAAAAAACAAAAAAAAAGGAAAAATAATAAGTTTCCCTATCCACTTGTATAAGAATATACAAATGCATCACTTTATTTTACATCTTCTGGCAGCTTCCTTTCTAAACCTAAAAATCTAGATGTGTGCATGCTGTGGATACATATAATGTCAAAATTTTTTAGACAAATTATGTATTTATAAATTTATGCTCTTATGCCATTTCTGTGGAATACTTGAGATGTACACATGCCTCAATCTGTCATACAGATTTCTGTGCCATAACTAGCTTTTAAGATTTGTTTTAGATATTGCTAGCTTTTAAGATTTGTTTTAGATCTCTATTCAATTTGTAGACTACGCGTCTCCTACAAGATCAGTCACAAGAAGAACTTGAACTTCATGCCCAACGCTCCCAGTTTCTTGAGGACAACGAAGATCAAAGTAGACGTTCATACAGGTCTGTTAGAATTCTTTTTGGCCTTTGTCAATTGACTTGCTTAGTTTCTTGCATTGCTACATTTTAATGGTAGTAAAGTCCAATATCATTAAATTCTCTGGAAATCAGCAATGCCATCTAAACATCAATTCATGTCTTTGTAGAAAGTGAATATAAAAATACATTAAAAAGGCATTTTGCTTATCATGTGGTTCACCCTAGAGAACATAGGAGGACTACAAGATTTTGAACAAAACTTCAAGTGAGGGACAATCCCCACTGAGAACCAGTCCAAATATATTTTACAGAATCATGATTGTGGGAACATATATATTTTTTTTGTTTGTATGTTCATACATCTCTGTAAAAGTACATATTTCATTCTTGGTGTGGATGTACTCTCTGCACTTGAGATCCCAGTCTTTTGGCCAACAATATCCTTCGGAACTTTGTATGATCCCTTAGGCTACATCTACGCTGCAAGGGTTTTCCACAAGAGGAAATGCATATGTCATGCTCGCATTTGCATTTTCTCCTCAAATCTCTTTTGCACAAGAAGTTTTTGCATAAAAAAACGCTGCGTAGTCGGCTCCTTTTTGCACAAAAATCCCTCTTTTGTGCAATAGCCGTTCTTCCTCATTTTTTCAGGAAGAACGGCTCTTGCACAAAAGGGGGATTTTGTTAAAAAAGGAACCGTCTACACAGCGCTTTTTTACGCAAAAACCTCTTGTGCAAAAAAGGGATTGGAGGTGAAAATACAGATGCAAGCGTGACATACAAACGAGCGCTCCATTTGCATTTCCTCTTGCGGAAAACCCTTGCAGTGTAGACGTAGCCTTAGGGTCTGTAGCAAAGGCCTTGTAGCGATTCATGGGCGTGGCACCTACTGTTGGTCACACCGGGAATTAGCTCTGACACTCAGCAGGATGTCCCCTTCTGGCCAATGCCTGGCTCTTTGCTCCACTGGCTCTCCTTGGACCAGTGTTGCTCTCAGGACCGCAATGTCCTCTTCAGGACAATGTCCTGCGACAGTGCTCCCTACCCAGTCCTCAGTCTTTAAACCTGCCACTGTGGCCAACTGCAGCCCCTTGCCTCAGGAGCAAGCCAAAGTCTGTATAGGCCACTTTCCCTGGTGTCAAGAAGTGGAGTAATGGGGGAGACCCAAGCCCATCCACTTCTTTGGATTCCAGCTCAGGAACCCTCTGGTGACAGTCTTGTCCTGCCTTCCTTCAGTCCCCTTAATTGCTTATGTTTTCTGCGCTACTTCCCTGTGACCCTTGTACCTTCTCAGCCCTGGTATCAGTCTTGGCCTGTTCAGCAGTGCTCTCTGGCCAAGGTGCTTCCCCTTCACTGGGAGCCAGTCCTGCACCCTTGCTGATCAGTACCCAACTGTCCTCTGCTCTGCTGAGTAGCTCCTTATAACAGGTCTGCCCCAGCAAGCTGCTCTCTGATTGGCTTCTTATAAGTCCTTTCCTAATTGTCCTGGACTCTGCTCAGGCTCCCTCTAGCTGGTTTTAACCCCTTTTCTAATGGAATAGGGAAGTTACGTAAAGGACAGAGCACCCAATGAGCACTCAATTTCTTCACTGCCCATGGCTGAGATGCAGCTACCTAGTGTCCATGTCTTGATGTGTTTAACTGTTTTTATTATCTCTTGTAAACAGTGTTAAATTAGAGGGGGTTAGTTAGGTTATTGTCCTGTTTTACCTGTAGGACTCCCATATCCCCATCAAATGTATCATTTATACATTATTTTAAAGGATTTTATAAGCCAAAGGAAGCAAATTTGCAGATGTTTTCATTCGACCGCACCACAAGACTGACTTCAGAAATGCCCTAGTATTGTAGCCCCAACCTCAGTCCTTGGACAGGTTCCACCTCTTTTTATAAGTATTTCAGTGAGCTCAGGATTTGTCAGTTCCCGAAGTACCTCATCGAAGGTATCCAGCTTCTGTCTCTGGTAAGATAGTCAAAAAGCTTTCTGAGAATAAGGAGCATCACTCCTTGGAGAAAGCGAGAGAGAGATCACCTACAAGAGTTTCCACTAAGAGAAGATCTAAGTTCTCTATTCTCTCATTGCTGAATTGGCCTTTCGTGTATGCAAGATTTGCTAAAATATTTTCTGAGCAGACATCTCTTGGATATGCCTAGTATGACAAAATGTACTGACATTCCTAGGGTGATGGAATCGTTTTAATCAAGTGTGCAATAATGATAATAGTAACAAACATAATCCTATTATATTGTACTTTAGTAATTGCAGTATGATAATGAAATTAAAGTTCTGGGTTTTAACACAACCATTGGGTGGCACAGACTACAGGTTTAATCTCTATATTGGGTGTGGGGTGTGAACTTCAGGAGGGAATTAGAGTGTGGGAGGTGATTTGAAGTTCAGGTTCCAGGCGACCCTTATCTCAGGTGGCTCCCTGGAAGCAGCAACATGCCATCCTAGATGGAGGCTCTGCTTGTTGCCCTGTCTGCAGGAACCACCCTCAGAGCTCCCACTGATAATGGTTCCCAGACAGTGGGAGCTGTGGAACTGGTACCCTAGGAGCCAGAACAACATGCTGCCTCTTCATTGGGGCTACAAGGAGCCAGTTGGGGCACATGCTAGCCAGACTTTTAATGGTCCAGTTAGCAGTGCTGACCATAGCTGTCAGGGTCCACTGAGTGTTCTGGTCTAAAACCAGATACCTGGCAACCCTATTGTTGGCGCCTGAGGCCTCAGGGCTGGGGCTCTGCTCCTTATCCAGGCTTTCTAAGTCCCTGCTGCCTAACCACCTCAGAACTGAAGCTCAGACCCCATCTAAGACTCTCTCCCTCCACTCCTACCCTTCACTTGCTCCTTCTGCTTGAGAGTCCCACCTATCTCCAGAGGAGGTGCAGGATTGTGCATCCAGGAGCAATAGGGAGTCAGGATGAGGAGCTGATGCTTTGCTGCTTGCCCCCCACTCTCACTATCCAGGAGGCCGTTGTGCCCACAGGGGGAAACCCCCTGGTAGCAGTATGGGAGAAACACTGGTTTAGATAAGTGTCTGTACCTGATGAATTTCTACTTGCTAAAAAATACTACTCCATAGCAAAACAAAACAAAAAATACAGGTTGATCCTCTCTTGTCTGGGATGTTCTGGTCCAGCAACATCTGTGATTCGTCAGGACCATGAATACTGCTAGACCAGAGAGTCCCTGGACCAGAGGACTGGGAGGCCACAGGGTTGGACGCAGCAGTGCTGGGACAGCAGAGCCGCGACAGACCTTGCGGCCCCGAGGAATAGAGCCCGGTGGCTCCAGAGTATCAGATCCACATCCAGACCCAGCCAGCATTCCCTCTAAGATGCCAGCTTCGGACTGGGTGGGGCTGATTAATCACCTGTGAACCTGTGCTGCCTTGAACCTTAGAGGGAGTACATGACCAGCTGTGTTGCTTTTGTCCGGCTGCCATAGCCCAGCCTGGTTTCCCCCTTCCGGGCTGCTGAAGCTGCAGTCCTGGCCCTGCTGCCAGGAGGCAGGCAGCCCCAGTCATGCTGCCATTACTACCCAGGCACCTGCGAACCTGCTGCTGCTGCCCAGGATATTATGGTCCCGCTGCTGCCTGGGCTGCCATGGCCCCAGCCCCAGATAGTGCTCCACTGCCACTCGGGCATTGCCATTGCCCTGGTTGTTGCGGCTCTGCCACCACCAGACTCGCGGGGCTCCTAGCAATGGTCCTCCTGCTCTGGGATGCTCTCATCCAGGAGCATCTGTGGTCATTCTGGACCACAGATGGTTGCTGGATGAGAGAGTCCCAGGCAAGGGAGGTGCAGCCTATAATAACTGTCTTTAATACAACCTGAAAACTAGCTTTTTTTGTTTGGTTTACATAGATGTGAATATTGCAACAAGGGTTTTAAGAAATCCAGCCATTTGAAGCAGCATGTGCGATCACACACTGGGGAGAAGCCTTATAAATGTCAGCTGTGTGGCCGTGGATTTGTTTCCTCGGGAGTTCTTAAATCACATGAGAAGACTCACACAGGCAGAGTATCTTTTAAATACTGTGTTTATTTATGATGTTTATAAATGTCTCTAATGAAAATACCTATTTGTTTTTGTGACTTCAGTTTTGGAAGTTGCTGTTGTCTCTTAATGTTCTCTGTGTAGATGAATCAGACAAATATATTTTTTCTCTTACTTTAAGGAGTTAAAGCATTCAGCTGTAGCATTTGCAATACAGCTTTCACTACCAATGGCAGCCTTACTAGGCACATGGCAACTCACATGAGCATGAAGCCTTACAAGTGCCCATTCTGTGATGAAAGCTTCCGAACAACCGTTCACTGCAAAAAGCACATGAAAAAACACCAAACAGTCTCCTCTGCAGAAGCAGTACCTGGAGAGGCAGGAGGAGGAGGTGAACAACATTTATTTATTTATTTGTTTATTCATTCATTCATTTTTACTGTAACAGACCTTGACTGCAAACCAGGCAAAAATGATGAGAAATTTCATTTATGCTATATTGGGGCTATAATTTTTACCTTCTTGTTTCAAGACACAATATTGTACACAGTAAGCCAGTAGGACTGCTCCTTTCCATGAACTAATAGAGGAAACATAACACACTCTTATGAACAGGTCTGTCATAATAAACCCTGCAATAGTTTACAATACATTTATACATGGTATTCCATCCTGTTGTGTTTTTAATCTTTGTATTTTACAGTAGTATATTAAAACTATACCATGTGGTAGGTATCAAGCGACTTGATTTTTTCATATTTCTACTTTGACTAAAATATTCATTTAAGATTTTATGAGCTTGCTCTTTTTCTGGTTGCAATCTTCTAGCTAGAAAAGGCTATCTTTGTTCATATCATACACAAGCAAACAGAAAGCTTAATTTTTGGTGGAAATGTGTGTGGGCACTTCCATGAATTCAGGATCCCTCAATAGTGATTTTGGGGGGTACTCTCAGAATTTTCTACAGAATTTTAAAGTGAATTTGTACCCTGAAAAAGAGATTCTTAAAAATGGCATTGAGCATTCCATACTATTGGTTGAACCTTTCTAGTCTGTTACCCTCAGGACCTGACTGGTGCCAAACCAGAGAATTTGCTGGATCACAGGAGGTCAGTATTGTCTACCAGCATTACAATACCTCCACTGCTTGCTGGATTCTTAGAAGAAATTTTAGGGCTAAATAAAGCCTAAATAAAACTCTTAGAACACTGAGCGCCAGGACTAGTGGCTGTAAACAAACTATGAGATTGTGGGAAATTTGGCTACCCCAAGATAAAGGAACATCTGACTAACTATAAATTCATGTCAGACCACAGATTTTGCCAGGCCAGAGAGTGCTGGACTAGAGAGGTTCAATCTGTATTTAAATTGATTTTTTAAAAATATAAATAAATTAACAATTTTCTGTAGAACAACAGACTGAAACTTAGACCTGCAAACTCAGCTTGGAATCTGAAAGTCATGTAGGATTCTTTCTAGCTCCATAATCCCTGACTAAAGATTCTGTGTTTGAGATTTAATTAGCTTTTTTTTATGTGGATGGAGTTAGAAAAGAATCCAGTGAACTCTCTCCCGGAGCTGTGGAATACTGGATGTAAGGTTGAGAAAACCTAATAGTCAGGGCTTGACAAATAATACAATCTACTTGCCCATGGTGAGTAGATTGTAACCCGGAAGAGCCGGGTTCGGGCGATCTGCGCATGCGCAGATCGCCAGACAGCACAGCTGGTGAGCGGGGCTCTCCGCAGTTCGGCGAGCCCTGCTAATAATAATTTGGTGTAAGATACATTACCAAGGTATTGTAATTTGTCAAAGAAAGCATTATAAAACTAGGAAATTTAGAATTAAGGTAGAACGTAAGTGTGCAAGTTTGAGTTTCCTTTAAGACACCAAACAGCCTTTGCTCTGCTATGTGGACACAACATAAAATAACTATATGAATTTGATTTAACACATGCTAGTGTTCATAATGTCAGGTTAGATTAAACTGATTTTTGTGTGGTTTTTAAATAGTTTTATGTGTGGAAGAAGCTGATGAAAATTCTGAAAGAACGGCTTCCAGAAAATCTCGGCCTGGTGTCATCACTTTCACAGAGGAAGAAACAGCAGAACTTGCAAAAATAAGACCTCAAGAAAGTGCCACAGTTTCAGAAAAAGTTCTTGTCCAGTCTGCTGCAGAAAAGGACAGAATTAGTGAGATCAAAGATAAGCATGCAGAATTGGAAGCAGAGCCCAAGTACGCCAATTGTTGTACTTATTGTCCCAAAAGCTTTAAAAAACCCAGTGATTTAGTCAGGTAAGGAGAAGCAGTGGGTCATACTTTTGGGTTTACTGAGATCTTTACTGGACATTTAATAGTGTGAGCTTTTCGTCAGAACTTGTTATACCTAAATTGGCTTCTGTCTGTCTCACGGTGCATTATGGGGGTTAGTTAGCAGGAAGATGGCAATTTTTCATTTCCAGAATGATTTATAGACAAGTATTGGTCTATGTAATAGTTCCTTGTTACTTTATGCTTTGGAATTGAGTACAATTGCTCCCTTCTCACATTTGCATTTTCCTGAATTATTAAGTTAGTTAAAATCTTACAATGAACGCAGATGTTTGGTAACATTGTGGAGTTTTGTTGCAGTAAAATTTTGATATATAAGATGAAAAATCAGCGTGGAGAATGAAAAAAATTATTAAAATCATACCAAAAAAAGCTTCTCCCCCTACCAGAACACCCCCTTTCCCAAGAACTCTGAGTATATACTATAACCATAAATTTAAGTACTTCAGAACTTTTAAAATATCTGTTAGGATACAAAGTGGCTGGCATGGAAATTGACATGTTTATTTAAGAAAGATAATCAACACTGTTATTCATGAAAACACGTTTTTGTCTAGGCATGTTCGTATCCACACTGGGGAGAAACCATATAAATGTGATGAATGTGGAAAGAGTTTTACTGTGAAGTCTACTCTGGATTGCCATGTAAAAACACACACAGGTCAGCAGGATTTTGAATTTGTGTATTTGCAGCCCCTTTAACTGACTTTTTAATGGGCTTTTTTATGAGTATCGGAGGATGTGGTATGTTTCACTATTAAAAGCACAATGTCAACATTACACTTAAGTCTACAATATCTTCCATATTGGTCACTGATAAAACCTACTGTTTTAACACACTATGTATCAAAAGTTTTATGATATGCAATGTCAGGAAAACCCAGACATGTTTTGCACTTATGTATTACTTTCATACCTGCTGAAACAGTGATGCTCTTAGCTAGGAAGGGCAGGGTTTGGGTATTATATAAAACTAGATTTACATGGTGTCACTTAAGTCCTTTAGACCAGGAGGCTGGGGGGAGGGGGCTAGGTGTGTGAGGAGGTGCATAAGTCAGGGTTGAGGAGTGAGGAGGGGCTTTTGGAAGGAGAAAGGGGGTGAAGGAATTAGGGCAGGGGGTTGAGAGGTATGGAGGGGCTCAGGAGAAGGGGTAGGAGGTAACCGGTCACCACTCCCTGGGGCCACCCTCAGGCATTGGAGTCTGTGCTTCTTGGCTACTGGCTGTTCCTCACAGAGACAGGTGCTGTTCTGCCTGGCTGGCGGATACTCCATGTCACTGGGGGCTTTGGGAAGGCAGGGGCATGTTTTCTTGCTGCCTCCCACTGGTCATTGTGTAATATAACTATTCCTGCGATCACAGCCCTTCCTTTCCATTTGATGAGAAACAATTGCTTTCCATGGACATCTCATCATCTTCGTCCAGTCAAACCCTTTCCTTGCTTTAAGCAATGATAAGAGGAAGCTACATACCAAATTTGGTGGTCCTAGTTCTTACCATGTAGAAGGAGTTATTGAACAAATTAACTCATGGATGTACAGACACACAGATGTACAAACTCTCTAATATAGAGAGATTTTCAGTGGTTACATGTTTACATGCGGGGGGGCCAGTGTGTGCTCTGCAAGAGTTGGTGCCTGCAGGGAGCCCATCCCCACTGCTGCTTCTGGGGGGAGCCTTGTGTTTAACCATGAAGGTTAACCAATGCTGTATGCATAAGGGTTGGCATAGAAGATACATGTAAGAGAAATGAACAAATTGATGATAGCTCATTGGTGTAGAAAGTGGGATCACTACAGTAAGATGCAAAAATGGGCAGAAAGGGAAGGGGCTAAGCTATGAAGGGCCTTCACAATGAGAAGTGGAAGTTGTGAGATGTCAAAGGAAGTAAAGTCATTTAAAGACTCAGCCTAGGGAAGTTACATTATCAGAATGATGGGCCCAGAGGATGGACAGCAGTGCATTAAATGAATTTGAAGGAAACAAGGTTGGATGACAGGAAGGTGAGAGAAAAGGATGGTAGAGTTATCCAGATGAGAGAATGCATGTTTGCATGAGGATTCTAATAGTACTGTATAGTCAGAAGAAACAAAATCTTAAATTTTAGAAGGAAAAAATGTTTTGGACACAGCCCTGGTGTGATAATGTACGATGATAGTTATATGATTCCTAAGTTATGGCCCTGAGTTATGGAAAGGTTAAGAGCATTAATGGTGTTAAATAAAGTGGGTTTTAGAGTTCATAGTTCTGTATCTTTAATTTAGCTTTTCAACTAGTGTGCCCTCTAAGCTACAGGGCAGCATAGTTTCACAGGTGGTGAATCAGCCCCTCCCAGTCTGTCAGCCAGCTCCCTGCATAGAGCCCTAAGCCTCTGACTGGGCGGGGCTATTAATCACCTGTGAATCTGTACTGCCACACAATTTAGAGGGAACATTGTTCTCACTATTGTTTGATGTGTCCAATATTTTGTTTAACAATACTGCTCCCTGAACTTTTCAAATTTGTTTAGAACTCTGACTGTTCTTGTTGTTATGCAGTATTGGTAATTATTGATTGATTCTTCTCCTGCTTTCTTATTGTTCAGGTCAGAAGCTCTTCAGTTGTCATGTATGCAGTAATTCTTTTTCTACCAAAGGGAGTCTAAAAGTGCATATGCGCCTGCATACAGGAGCAAAGCCATTTAAGTGTCCACACTGTGACTTACGGTTTCGTACTTCAGGGCGTAGAAAAACCCACATACAATGTCACTATAAACCAGAAGCCAAGAGGGTCAGGAAGTCTATGACCCGTACATCTACTGAGGGACTACAACCAGTGAATCTTCTCAACTCTTCCACAACAGACCCCAATGTTTTTATTATGAATAATTCTGTTCTGACAGGTCAATTTGATCAGAATTTGCTTCAACAAGGACTTGTGAGCCAGGCAATCCTTCCTGCTTCTATGTCAGGTAAAACATGAACATTTTCATTTGGGTTTAGTTAGCCAAATTGCTAAATTTTGATTTATCTTAAAGAAAATGTAGAGCCATATGTCTAATTGCAGTTCTTAGTCAGATAAGTCTTTTACCATGATTTGACTCTTCCTCATAAGGTGATGCTTTCATGGATGAAGGTGGTGCTTTTAGCAATGAAGATATTATGTACAGTCTGTTAAAGATTCATTAGTCTCAGGGTAGCAGAGAACATGTTGAAAATATGGTTTTAAAATAAAGTTTTCATGGTATGAAGTTGCAGTAGTTTGTACAGAAAGATGATGACAATGTAGATAAAATAGGAGTTAGAAATTCTACATTGATTTATTTATTTAAATTCTGTTATTTCCTGTAAAAGAAGAGAGAAGTAATGTTTTATGTACACTATTCATTTTAAAAATATATTTTAACCTTATGTGTTAGGTTATAAAGAAAGTTAATTTACATTAGTTTTGGATGTGGAGAAAGCATTTAAAATATAGAACTTTTACAGATCCTTACAGTTAATTGTTCAAAGCAAAAAATAATAAAAATATTAAAATGGACAATTACTAAGAAATTAACATAAGTGTAGGATAATATTTTCAGATGTGATTTAGATACTTAGGAGCATAAGTTTTATTGAAAATCAGTGATGTTTTGTTTCCTAAGCATTTGAAATGAGACTTAAGCATTTAAATCATGAAGATACTTTTTGGAAAAAGTTCATTGAGCCTCCATAGAGGCAAGAATGTTCCACAAATTAACTTACATTTTTTTAAACACTTAAATATCCATCAAGCTGTAGCCACAGACATTCTACCCTGTTTTATGGGATTTTAGCCTGTTACATAAAACTGAGTGGGTTTCAGTTTTCAGATATTGGTAGACATTAATTGGCAGGTTCAACTCATGGGGATTTTGCATCCTTTTAAGTTTTGCTTGAGCAGAACAAGGGGCTTTAAGAATATTCATATGCCTCATAATTGGGAAAGAACATATTAAGCAATATTAAAATAGCATTCCTGGCACTGCAGCTTGCCTAGTACCCCACAGGTATTTTCTGAAGTTGTAGTGGAGAACAAATGTATCTTTCTTGCAGCACAAATATTGAAAATAGGAAAAACAGTCCAGATAGCAGTCTATCTGGCTATTGAAACGGTTCTTACATGAATTGCAAAAGGGCATTATTTATTATATAGTATTTAAAAGATACATCTAGTATTGAATGGACTATCCTTTTAAGTTATAACAGTTTAACCCTAGGTCAGATTTGAAGTCTTTACATACGTTTAAATTCTATCCATGCATATATGTACTGGGACATAGGTAGAACTTTCTCTTGAACGCTGGTATTGCTGCAGCATGGGCAAACTTTCAAAGAGCTTTCATATTCAGATTTTATGGTGCAACCATTTGCAGATGTGCTTTTTACGTTCAGCGAGAATGGACATTCAAAAAGAGAAAATATTGAAATATTTGGACCTGTGTGTCCAGGATTTCAGAGTCATTCTGAAACTATTCTACTTTATAAAAGAAGCCAATCACTACTTAATTTGATTTTTTTCCTACATGCATTACAGATATTTGTTATAAATTTTAAAAATGGATCATTAAATCTGTTTTTTTCCTTGATACACAGAATTGCCAATACTTAGATATTTCAGAATGATTTCATTAAAATACTGGATAAAAAGGAGACCCGTAATTACAAAGAAAAATTATAATATGACTATTTTCTTTGGTAGCTGGAGGTGACTTAACTGTGTCCTTGACAGATGGTAGCTTGGCCACCCTTGAAGGCATACAGTTACAGCTTGCTGCTAATCTGGTTGGACAGAACGTTCAAATTTCTGGAATAGATGCTGCCAGTATTAACAACATCACATTACAGGTAGGTTACTGTTAATTTCTATTAATAAGAGCCCCAGGACGGGATGGAGTGTCATGTATGTAATCACCTGTTTCCTGCAGAGCCCTGTTGACTTCATTGGGACACCTGCACTGTCTGTACAGGATTCCTTGCCGTGTTGCAATGATTTCATGTTCTACAGTATTAAAAAAAATATTTTGCATGTATTTATGTGTGCTGAAAATAAAACTTGTTTTCTGTTTTTCAGTGGTTTTTTCTTTAATTTATGCAAATTATAACTTGCTTTTCATCCATTAATAACATTGATTTTCCAAAGTATTTTATTTCAGTTTTTCCTCTCGTTCAGTTCCTTCAACCAATTTTCAGTCCTTACTCTTACAATGATGTATGTAGTTTTATTAGTTTTAAACCTCAAACAAGAAATGCTGTATGTAAATCTGACATGCATATATTTAAGTGCAGTGTGTGTATATAAATAAACATATATAATATGAATGTAAATTTTGAAAGGTATCTAAGGCTATGTCTACACTACAAAGAAAAGTTGGAAAAAGATATGCAAATTGCGAACTGCAATTTGCATATATTTTTTTTCTTTTCTGTCAGAAGAGGCTTTTCCAAAATTTGGCGCGTCTACACGGCACCAAATTTCAGAAGAACCTGCTCTTTCCAGCCAGCCTTTCTTCCTCGTAAGATAAGGTTTCCAGGGATGGTGAAAGAATGTGTCTGCTTTTCCGAATTTTTTTTCAGAAAAGCGGACACGTTCCTTAGACGCAGCAGCGCTTTTCCGGGATATAGGAGGTATCCCAAAAAAGCTCTGCAGTCTAGACATAGCCTAAGATACCTATTTCTAAAGCTTGAGGGCATATGAACATTATTTTAGAAAACACATAAGTAAGTATATAATTTCAGTGTGGGTGAGTAGTCATTCGTACTATCAGTCTACCTTTTTCCTCTACTTCCTTTCACCTTGATTTGCAAAGGCCTGAGGAAAGTGACTTGGAGACAGTACAGAGAAAATATCAAGCTCTAACATGAAAAATTTCCTGCAACAAATCACCTCATGTTTGAATATAATTATTGTTACGGTTGTTCAAACTTGCTGATCTCAATTGTTATGGCAGACCTGTGATAAGTTGTCATGGTGTAAGAGAAAAGGTCCTCTCATGGATTGATAACTGGTTAAAAGACAGGGAACGAAGGGTAGGTGTAAATGGTCAGTTTTCTAAATGAAGAGAGGTAACTAACGGTGTCCCTCAAGGGTCCGTACTGGGACCAGTCCTATTCAACCTATTTATAAATGATCTGGAGGACAGGGTAAACAGTGAGGTGGCAAAATTTGCAGATGATACTAACCTGATCAAGATGGTTAAGATCAAAGCAGACTGTGAATAGCTTCAAAAAGATCTCATAAAACTAAGTGATAGGACAACAAAATGGCAAATGAAATTTGATGTTGATAAATGTGCAGTAATACACATTGGAAAAAAGAATCCCAACTACACATACAATATGATGGGGACTAATTTAGCTATAACCATTCGAGAGAGATCTTGGAGCCATTGTGGATATTTCTGTGAAAACATCCACTCAATGTGCAGTGGCAATCAAAAAAGGAAACTCAATGTTAGGAATCATTGGGAAAGGGATAGAGAGTAAGACAGAAAATATCTTATTGCCTCTATATAAAACCCTGGTACACCCACATCTTGAATACTATGTACAGATGCGGTTGCCTCATCTCAAAAAAGATATATTGGCATTGGAAAAAGTTCAGAAAAGGGCAACAAAAATGATTAGGGGTTTGGAACGGGTCCCATATGAGGAGCGATTAAAAAGATTGGGATTTTTCAGCTTGGAAAAGAGGTGATTAAGGGGGGATATGATAGAAGTCTATAAAATCATGACTGATGTGAAAAAAGTGAATAGGGAAAAGTTATGTACTTGTTCCCATAACATAAAATCTAGGGGTCACCAAATGAAAGTAATAGGTAGCGGGTTTAAAACAAACAAAGGAGTTTTTTCTTCACAATGCATAGTCAACCTGTGGGACTCCTTGCCAGAGGATGTTGTGAAGACCAGAAATTTAACAGGGTTCAAAAAAGAACTAGATAAATTCATGGAGGTTAGGACCATCAATGGCTATTAGCCAGAGTGATTAGGAATGGTGTCCCTAGTCTCTTGTTTGTCAGAGACTGGAAATGGATGACAGGAGGAGTCTCACATGATGATTACCTGTTCTGTTCACTCCCTCTGGGGCATCTGGCATTGGCCACTGTTTGAAGACAGGACACTGGGCTAGATGGACCTTTGGTCTGACCCAGTATGTCCGTGGTTATGTTCTTAGACCTGGAGAAGGGGGTACTTTCTTAACCAGGGTCAAAACCATTTAGGACTTCGATAGTTTGAGAATACCTCTGTGAATTACATTAAAACAAATAGGAAGCCAAGGTAATTGCTGAGTAACTGGTGTTAACTTTTTAATCACAAGTCATCGGGCGCATTCTGCACCAGGTTTCATAAGTGACCTCTAAGTTAGACAAGATCCGGATTCAAAAGGAATTGTTCATATCCAAAAAGGCAGAAGGAGTTAAAGACATTTTAAATCATTGTCACCTGGAATTCTGGGTTTATATTAACTTTCACTGATCTATATCTGTCTTCCTTTTCAGATTGATCCCAGTATTTTACAGCAGACACTACAGCAGAGTAATTTACTTGCCCAGCAATTAACTGGGGATCCCAACATGGCTCCACAGAACAACTCCCTCCAGACCACAGACAACACGGTTCCCGCTAATGTGGTTATCCAGCCGATATCAGGCTTGTCTTTACAGCCCACAGTTACGTCTTCAGCTAATGTAACAATAGGATCACTGTCTGAGCAAGACTCTGTGTTGACAACTAATAGTAATGGTAAGAAGTGTTAATAACTCCTTTTTTCTTGCTTTTTATGTTTTTTTTGGGGCATAATTCTTAAAATCATTTATGGATGTCAATCTTGTATTGATTAACTTATTTCATTTTGGACCTCATTAAAGAATAAGGCAATATTGATTTAAATGCATTACTACTTTAAATTTGATAAAATACAACAGCTCCATAAAGAGTTTTATTTGTTTAATTATCTGTGTCCTTGTTTTTTAAAGTTTATTCATATTTTCCAAGCACACTTGGACCTCTGATTTTTTTGGTTATACATGCAAATTAGTTCTCTGAGGGCTCATCTACACTATGTTGAAGTGTCAAAAGAGGATATGCAAATTCAGCGGGAATTTGCATATCTTCTTCCAATCTCACTTTTGAAAGTGAAAGTGGTTTGGACGTGGCTTTTTCGGCAAATCCCCGCCCCTTTCTCAAAAAGCCGCTTTTCCTCAAAAAATGAGGTTTACACAGCTTTTCGAAAAGGGGCAGGGAGTTGCGGAAAAAGCTGCATCCAAATTACTTTCGCTTTCGAAAGCGAGATTGGAAGAAGATATGCACATTCCATGGGAATTTGCATATCCTCTTTCAGAAAATGTTAGTATTTATGCTTACAAGTAAGGGTGTTTGCCAGATTTAGACTCCTTTATAAACTTGGTCTGTTGACTGCAAGCAGCTGCTTTGTTACAAGTGTGACTCATATAGATTAGAAGCCCCCATGAGGCCCAAAAACTTTGCCATCTTGTATGCATGCTGTACTGAGCTAAACATATAGTTTGCACTCAACAAAGCCAATAGTTTCATCAACAATACTAGTTTGAGAAAATCTAGAGGCTGCATAGCTTACCACACAACCAAGGACATTCTAGTGTTTGAGTTAAAAGTAGAGCTGGTTCAAAAATGATGAGATTTCAAAATTGGTTGCTTTGCAAGTTGAGATGTAAAGTCAAAATCTCAGAACTTTTCATGAAATGAAATATGCAGATACATTTCAACGTTTTCAGAACAGTTAGTTTCAATCAGATAATTTTTCTTTGTTCTGATTTGTTATATTATAATGAATAATAATAGAAAAGTCAAAACAAAATGTTCTTCTTCACGTGATTGCTCATGTCCATCCATGTAGGTGTGCATGTGCACGCGTTGTTGGAAAGTTTTTCCTTTAGCAGTACCCATTGGCTGTCTGGCTGCTTCCAGGGTGGGCAGGATTTAAGCCCCCAACCCTGCACTCCCCAGGCAAATGCTGTATCCCCATGTCCACTCAAGAACTCACACTACCTCCCTACCTTCAGAGGGTCCCTTATCCTGTGTTGGCTTTCTGGTCGTTTCTGGGGGAGGAGAGGGTAAGGATTTGAGCTCCTGAGGTGAAGTGAGGTGGGAGGTTGGCGGCAGGACTTAAACCTTCCTGGAGTGGATTCCCTCTGGAGTGGTGCTGCTATATTGGCTGATATATCCCCCTTTTTTCTTACCACCCGTAAGGCTTGTTGGATGCATACTGTTGATTGTTCTTATCTTCGGTAAATAGTTCTTATCTAGTATAGAAAGTCAGTCTTTGGCTGGGGAATCTGGGCCCCTAGGCTTCAAGCCCTGTGTCAAGTGCCAGAAGCCTGTGCCCTGTGGCGACCCCCAGAAAGCTTGCTTAAAGTGCCTCGCGAAGGCTCACCTTTCTGACTCCTGCAAAATTTGCAGGGGTTTCAAGCCAAGGACCAAGCGTAAGAGAGAGTCCCACTTAAAGATTCTTCTTGTGGAGGCAGCCCTCCGTCTGGCACCAGCGTTGGACTTGGCACCGGCAACTCAGAGTGCCCTGGCTTCAGTGCGTGAGGCACCCAGCCATTCATGCACCTCTCCAGTGCTGGGTAAACCTCGGCATCGGTTTTACTTTCTTGTGCCTTAGAAGAAGCGGAGACCAAGCAGGAGCAGGTCTTCATCGAGGCATGTGCCAAAAGTGTGTCTTCAGTCTGTGCGTGTGGCACCGACAGAATCGGCACCCAAGTCTTCAGTGTCATGTCAGCACCAGCCCAGCCTGCCCTGAGGTCCCAGTCTGAAGGAGGACCTCCCAGAGGTGGAGCTCTCAACACAGGTTACCTTTGAGGCTGCTAGAGACCTCATTGAACTGACTTTATCCCCGGCTTCTGCCGCTGGCTCTGCTAGGGGCTGTGACTCTAGGCAGTCCTGTATCAGCACCCCAGTACCACGTGCTTCGGCACCAGCCCTAAGGGGGTATCACTGGGATTCACCGGCACCAGTGCCGGCACTGTCCTTTTCATCGGCCCACTTTGTGCATCCTGCCATGGCACATGAAACTCTGGCACTGGGCCCCGTAATGCTGCCACCTCCTCCTCGTCACCATGGGAAGCCCGAGTCTATGGCCAAACACGCTCCTAGTCTCTGGTTTCCAATCTCCATCACCATGGCACTGCCTTGGTCAGCTTCTGAGTATGAGTTGTGTTTTCTTCATTGTTTGCTTCCAGGTCTAGGCTCGGCACTGTTCATGCTCCCGGCACTGGAGTACCTCTGTGCAACCAGGGCAGCAGTCTTGGCTACCTCAGCCCACTTTTGCTCAGCTGGTGCGGCCTTACTGGCCCTCTCAATGGCAGGCCCCCATCCAGTGGCTGTTCTGGACCCGTTGGGCTTACCACCAGGCCCCGGGTTCAGGACCCTCCAGATCGAAGAAGGTCTACTCAGGACCCAGAGCTTCTCCATCTACAATTCCGATGACCTGCTCCCCCACGTTGTGCTAGTCTCAGGCCCCTATGCCTGTTTCCCCCAGGGCCACTGGGGAAAGTGCGGTGCCCCCAGCTCATCTGTTGACATGGCCACACAAGTCACTTCCCAAAGCAATGACTATGAGAAAGTCCGCTTGAAAGGGTCATCCTCTTTCTCTCCAAATGAGGCCCTAGCGGGGTCATCCCATCGATGGACTCAAGGTCGCACCAGGTACTTCTCAGACACCTGGTCCAGAGTTTGAGGGTGCAGGTGGAGCGGGTGTTTGAGGACTCAGACCCAACTATTCATACCCCTGCCAGAGTGGCATTGCTTTCGAACAAGACAGTGACAAAGATCACCAAGTCACACTGGCAAACCCTGGCTTGCATCCCATTAACAGACAAAAAAGGTGGAGAGGTGTAATTTTGTGCCACAGGAGGGCAACGAATACCTGTTCTCTCACCCTCCCCTGTGGTACAGGCAGTGAATCACCTTTCTGCCATGCTTGCACCCTTTCTACTGTGCCTGGCGGTCCATTAAATCAGATTGTTGGGTCCTAGAAATGGTAGGGAGCGGTTATGCCATCTCATTCTCTTCACCTCTCCCTTCCCAATTCTTTGCCCTGTTTCTCTTCAGAGACCCCTCTCACAAGCATTTCTTGTGCGAAAAGGCACAACCACTCCTAAATCTCAGAGCAGTACAAGTGATCCCTTTGGAATTCAGGGGCAAGGGCTTCTGTTCCTGGTATTTCCTGGTCCCTGAGGTGAAGGGTGGTTTCTGGCCCATCTTAGACCTCAGGAACCTCAGTGCCAAAACCAAGTTCAAGATGGTGACATTGGCTTCTATTATACCCTCCCTCAATCTTGGAGACTGGTACGCTGAGGATGCCTACTTCCACAATTCCATAGTCTCCCCATCCCCCGCCCAGCAGGATGTTCCTGTGCTTTACTGTGGGCCAGGACCATTATCAGTTTTATGGCCCTCCCCTTCGGCCTCTCCATGTCTCCTCCTCCTCCTCCTTCTTCAGAAGTGCAGGGTCCAAGTATATCCATACCTGGATGATTGGCTAGTGCGGGGCTTGTCCCTGGCACTGGTGCTGTCCCATATTTCTTCAGACCAGGACCTGTTTTTAGACCTTGGCCTGTCTCCTGAATGTGGCCAGGTCCACCCTTGTGCCCACACAGGTAACAGAATTTGTGGGCACCCGCCTGGATGCAACATTAGCCACAGCCTCCCTGCCCAGGTCTCACTCTCTCTAATGGTCAGGAATTATCCTAGCCTTGCGGGTGTCTCCCATGATCATGGCCAGAAACTGCATGTGTCTTATAGGGCTCATGGATGCCTGTACGTACATGGTGGAGCACACCAAGCTTTGCCTCTGCCCCACTGTAGCTGTGGCTGGCTTGGGTGCAAAACCCATCTTCCCACCCCTGGGTTTGGACAGGGTGGTGATGGTTCTTCCCAATATTCTCTGCTCATTTTTTATTTTTTGAAAAGTCAAGCAATCTCTTAGGAAAGAACAACCTAGAAAACATTGGGGACATTTTTTGAAATTGGAAAAAATTTGAAAACAGGGTTTAGAATATAGGTACTAAAACTCACCCTTGATAGCTATTAAGATATAATAAAATGTGTCTAGCCTTGCACCTTGCAGAGTTGTATTTTTGTATAATTACAGATGTATACTAAAACTTGTAGCACAGAGATTGGTTATGAAAAAGAGCTAACAGTTTAAGGAAGCAAAGTTTGGTCAGCAACAATGTCTTATTCTAAACACAACTTTAAATAACTTAGTATTCTTCTGAAGTCCAGCATTTCCTTGTTTGTTCAAGAAGGGAAAATGGTATTTTTCAAGATTGTACTTTTTTGTATAATTAATACAAGTCATTATTTTTCTCCCAACTTATATTTTAGGTGCACAGGATCTCTCTCAAGTCATAACATCACAGGGTATGGTGTCCACTTCAAATGGTCAGCATGAGATAACATTGACTATAAATAACTCAAGTTTGAGTCAAGTTCTAGCTCATGCTGCTGGCTCCACCACTACAAATTCTTCAGGAAGTCCACAAGAAATTACTCTCACCATATCTGGTTAGTATTTTTTAATACTGGTCGATCATTCTTAGTTCCTATCCAAAATGCTAGTTATACAATGACATTTTCTAGATAACTTCATTAGAGGGTGAAATAATTTGTTTTCACTGCCTCTAAGTTTACCCTAAGGCTACGTTTATACTACAGGCCACTGTTCACTTACCTATGTGGGTTAGGGGTGAAGCATATGATCCCCAGTTGACATAGCTATGCTGGAGAAAGTCCCTAACATAGACACACCTCTACTAGCCAAAGCTGTGCTTTCACTGATAAATCTTTCTATGATATGTGTTTTACTAATATCCAGTGTAGCTTTTCTGAGATAATACACTGTAATCCTTTAATGATAAAACATTTCTCCTGCTGACTTGGCTTTATTTTGAAGCATGTTAGCTTCTCCAGAGCTAAAGCCCTTTTTTGTGCGCCCCCCCCCCCCCCCCCCAAAAAAGCTAGATATTGTACTCAGAGCAGCTAACAGCTTGTTTTGTAGCAGCTACACTGTTATCAGAATGTTACTTCATCAGATGCCTGACCTCTGAGAGCGACAACTCAAACTTTAGGACAGGGGTGGGGAGCCTTTTTTGGTTGGGGGCCGCTGAAAAATCAGGCAAGGACAGTGGGAGCTGGAGTTCCAGCGTGCGCCCCCCCCCCCCCCCCCAAAAAAAGCTAGATATTGTACTCAGAGCAGCTAACAGCTTGTTTTGTAGCAGCTACACTGTTATCAGAATGTTACTTCATCAGATGCCTGACCTCTGAGAGCGACAACTCAAACTTTAGGACAGGGGTGGGGAGCCTTTTTTGGTTGGGGGCCGCTGAAAAATCAGGCAAGGACAGTGGGAGCTGGAGTTCCAGCGCAGGCACCCTTATGCTGCATGGGGAGGAGCCCTGATAGGGGCCGGATCCAGGCAAGCCGGAGGTTGCATCTGTCCCCCTGATCCTTAGGTTCCCCACCCTTGCTTTAAGACATAGCTGCACTAACTAGTTCAATTCACTAACCAGAGAATCCTAAGACTTGAGGTTTTTTAAAATTTCTGTCCATATTCAGTCTGTCTTTCCATTTTCTCTGAGAGAAATCAGAATTTGCATGCCTAATTTTCTTACTAACAACATAAAACCAATCATTCAACTTCAGATACTTTCAGAAGGCGTTTTGTTAATATTCTTCAGAAAAGGCTGCTGAAGAAACTAAGGTGTTATGAAATGAAATGAAAAGAAAAGTACAGGCAGTCCCCGGGTTACATCAATCTGACTTACGTTGGATCCCTAGTTACAAACGGGGGGGGGGGGGGAGGTTGTTAAATCCACGATGACTCCAAGATATCTTTTCTGATTAGTTGTAGCTAAATTAGCCCCCATCATATTATATATATAGTTGGGGTTAGCGCCCCCCTCCCCCTCCAGAACCAGGGAGATGCGGAGCGGCTTTTCTCGCCGCGGAGGACGCAGGGCTGCTGGGGGGAACAAGACACAAGCCAAAAGGGGGCACCCCAGAGCGGAAAAAATAATTTCCTAGGGAACAGCAGGAGCAGCAGGCAGTGAGACCCGTTGTGTTACAGTCCCCACCTTGGGAGCAACAGCTCTTTCCCGCTTCAGCACTAGAGCTGCAAGTATCTTGTTAGTGTCATGTGAAATTAACAAGTCCCTTCCAGCCTGGCAGAGGTGAAGCTGAAAAATTACCCAGTGGTGTGGGTGGGCAAGAATGGGGAGGAGCCCCAACCCCACACCCTGGCTGGAGCGGAGCAGGGTAAGCCCCGAGGGGATGGGTCTGGTTGCAAAGTGGGTGAGTGGACAATGAGGACCCACCTGTGGCTAAACTCCTGTTCCCAACACAGAATTTTTCTTTAAAATTAATCCTGTGGATAAATTCTCTCACACACACTTCACAGGAAGGGATTTCCATTTTCTGCTCAGCAGAATACAACAGCTTTGATTGTATCAATATTTCACTGTGCTCTCCAATGACTATTGATTACACTTAATACCCATTTCACTGAACCATCTGTAGCAAATTCTATTTGGAACAGTAATATGCATTGAATAAACTTTTTTTTAGTTATAAAAAACAAAGATTCTGACTATTAAATGAATAACTGGGATCTTTCAGGTACCCCAAAAGGAAGATTTGGATATAGCATGAAACACTGAAACTTATGATCAATTTTTAATTAAAATATCAACCAAAAAACCTTCATATCAAAACAGTATGTGTTTTTCTTTGAATAAGGAAGTTGTATGAGAATCAGGGTCTTTTCCACCTAACTCCAGCTCCCCGTCCCCCCCCAAAATATGTACCAGTTCCGACTTACATACAAATTCAACTTAAGAACAAACCTACAGTCCCTATCTTGTACGTAACCTGGGGACTGCCTGTATTATGGATCAAAACCAAACTAAGAAATAGGAAACAAAAAGTAGGAATAAGTAGTCTTCATCATGACAAAAGGTTGACATGCTATTTCAGAGTTTCCTAATAAGCCCTAGAGATGTAAAAATGTATAAAAACAGTAGCTGTGTAATCGATAAAAAAACAAAATGTTTACTCAGGGACCTAGGAGTACAGAAGGGTGCTTCCTTGCCTGCGGTTCTGGCTGCCAGCCTCATACCTTGAGGCTTTGCTTCCAGCGGGCATCTTAGCATGGCCAGGATCCCAATTGCTGGCCCCATGTCTGAAGCTCTGCTGCCAACAGGAATCTCAGCATGCATAGACTCCTGGATGCTGGACCCATGTCTCGGGCTCTTCTACCACCCAAGACCTCAAGCTCCCATAAGTTGGCAGGCATTCTGGGATCATGGAAATCCCCCCTCCCCCCCCAGAGTGGCTCCTCCTATAAATGCGACCATCAGGGTACTGTGGTAAATGCTATCTTCTTTGCCACTAGTGGCCAAAAGAATTGAATGAAGGTACCGTGTCTCCTTTTACATATGAGGTAGTTCTGTATCTTCTCTGCTTCTCCCCTCACTCTCTCATACACCAATGTTCCTTAAGTTTTGGTGGTGAATTATAGCATGCATCTACCCCAAAGCTGAAAGAGGCGAAGAAACTCAATATATTCAGAAGAAAAAACTATTCTACTACTGGCCTGGAAATATGCATCTCAAACCGGGAAGCCTTGGAGTAAAGATAAGATTTATTCCTCTGGAGCAATGCTCTGAAGTTTGAAGTCAAATTACCAGGAGAGGCCAAGCAAGCGTTTCAGGCAGTGTTGGAAGAGGGTAACCTGGTGGTCAAGACCTTGCTACAGGCTGCTTTGGATAGACCATACTCTGCGATCCAGAGCCAGGGCATCTGCAATAACAATGTGTTGGTGTTAACGTTTCAATCATAGTGTCTTCCACAGGAGGTTCAATGGACAATTCAGAATCTTCTTTTTGAGTAACCAACCATCATCTTCACGGTTTCAAGGACTCCGTGGTGTGAAGGCTTGGGAGTTTTACATTCCACTCCCTAAAAAAGAAGCAGTTCTACCCAGTAATTCCAGAGCTAAGCATCTTTTATGGCTAGGCAACCTGACCAGTTCAGGAGGAAAGGGAAGAGTAATCAGAGAAGAGCCCAACATCCTCACTTTTTTGTTTTCAGTAAGTTCTTCCAGACAGCCTTGAAATGCCAAGCAATCTGCCTGACTGCATCGTTGAAGACAGCTTCCAAGTTTCCCTTATACCAGTTGCTCCTATCCCTATTCTTTTGAACAAGTTATATGTTTGTACCACTATTACGATAGATCAATGAGTCCTAAGCAGTGTGTCATTAGACTACATCTTTCAGTTTGTTTCCAGTCCTACCCCTCACCTTCCTCTTCAGGGACTGCTCTCATGAGGTGGCTTAGTCTTTCCTCCTGCTGGGAGCTATAGAAGAGATCCCTTCTCTCCTTAGAAGGAAATAGTTTTATTTATACTATAACTTAATTCCCCAGGCAAAATGATGCTGGAGACTCGTATTACAGTTGTAAGAGCTGAAGAATATATAAATAAAATAACATTTTGCATGATGACCCTATGATCCATAATCCTGTCCCTGGATTCTGGGAACTAGTACACTGCCTTTTTGAGTTGAGAGAGACCTATTTCCATGTGGTTATCCATCAAAGACACAGGAGATTTGTGAGATTTATGGTAAATGACTCCCATAATCAGTTCTCGGTCCTACCTTTTGACCTATTTGTGGCCTTGTATGTATTTACAAAATGCAGTGTTTGTGGTTGCATTCCTAAGTAAAATAGGAGTACATGTATTTTCATATCAGGATAACTAGTTGTTGAGAGGTCCAGTTCAATAGCCAGGTAGAAGGCAGTTTGTTTAAGATCCAATCCATCTTTAGAGTTGAGGGACTGCTTTTCAATGAAGACGAGTCAGTATTCTCCCCTGTTCAGAGAATAGAGTAGGAGAGGTTTTGGAGTCTACTGCAGCTGCAGTTTTCCTCCCACAAACCAGATTCCAAACAATATTAGCCATTGTACTGGATTGGAGGGCCCATCTAGTCACAAATAAAATACTAGAACTGGAAGGGCCCTTGAGAGGTCATCAAATCTAGTCCCCTGCCCTAACGGCAGGACTAAGCACCATCTAGACCATTCCTGATAGATGTCTGTCTAACCTGCTCGTAAATATCTCCAGAGATGGAGTTTCCACAACCTCCTCAGGCAATTTATTCCAGCGTTTAACCATCTGCTAACAGGAAGTTTTTCCTAATGTCCAACCTAAACCTCCCTTGCTGCAGTTTTAAGCCCATTGCTTCTTGTCCTATCCTCAGAGGCAAAGAAGAACAATGTGTCTCCCTCCTCCTTGTGACATCCTTTTAGATACTTGAAAACCGCTATCATGTCCCCTCTCAGTCTTCTCCTTTCTAAACTAAAACAAGCCCAATTCTTTCAGTCTTCCTTCATAGGTCATGTTCTCTAGACCAGTGTTTCTTAAACTATGTTCGGTGGAATACTGGTGTTCTGTGAACAACTCGCAGGTGTGCCACGACCTCCTCTTTGTTTTTGTTACTACTTTGTTTT